GCTGCCCGCGCCCGCTCGCGCCTCCGGGGCCGGTTTTGGATCGTGAGCTCTGCTCAAAACTTTCGCCCCTCCGCAAGATAGGAAGCTCCCAAAAGGGTACGGTGAGCGCTCAGCGTTGTCTCGCCAGCGAAATGGTTTGCGTTGGCTCTGGGTTTTTCCTGTGGATCAGGGGGGGGGGCTTTGTTTTGTTTTATTTTATTTTGTTCCAGTCCTCTTGAAAGTGTAAAGAGGATAATAAGCAAAATCCTCTGTAGCAAGAAGAGACGGCAAAGCGTTCGGTGCGCTCTCTCCCCCTGCCAGCTGAGGTTTAGTTCAGGGACTTGCTACCTCATCGCTTGCAGCGAAATGAACTGGAAAGCCCTGAAGGGCTTGTGTGTGCCCAAGTGTTAGTGATAGACTCAGCTCCAGCTCTGTAAGTTGTCAAATTTAAACTAACTGAAGGCTGTCGGTGCTGAGGGATGGTAAATCTTTGTTCCCCTTTTTTGTTTTCTTTTAATGGAAAATGTGTAAAGTTGGACTCACCACGCTCTTTCCCCTCCCTCCTCCTTTCTTCCCGAAGCTGTCGTGTCTGTTGATGGCAAGCCGGTGAGACTGCAGCTCTGCGACACAGCTGGTCAGGTCAGTGAAGCCACTTATTTGATTTCAGTGACAGCGGGAGGGGAGAAGTTGTTGCACAGAGTAGTCCTGCTAATGACTTCATGGATTTGAAAGGATTCCCAGTGTTTGATCATCTTATTAAACTGCTATCGTTTTCACTGGTTCTTAGCCCACTGCTCCGTCCGGTGCCTGTCGAAGGGAGGGGGAAGGCTGTGCCGTGCCTCTGTCTGTGGGCTGGGCACAGGCTGTTACTCTGCTGGCTCAAACTGCTGCTGTGCTTAGAAAGGCTGGATTACTGGGGATTGAGGGCCACCTGGTCTGCCGCTAGACTCATTGTCACTGTCTTTGTTTTCGTTACATAGCTGCAAGTTTAAGAAACTGTGATATTTGGGGCGTACATGCGCGACGCGGTCAGAGCTGTAGGGGTGCAGAGGTAGGGAGTATGTTTTTGAAGGGGCAGAAGCTTACGGGAGAAAAAAATCCTGCTGGGTGTTGTCCATGGAGACTTCATGTTTGCTGTTCCCGCTGTTCCCACTCCATTAAAATGCTGCCACCCCAAAGCCAGGGTTTGCTCTAATTTAACTCCTGAAGATCTGAGGGTGGCTAATGCCTCTCAACTCCTAGTTTGTCCAGTATGTAAAGCAAAGCCACTTTTTACTGCCTTGTATTTTCTGTAAGTCCCCAGCTTGTACCACCACGAGCAGCGCGCAGCGCTGTTAGAAGGGGGTTGAGGCTGGATGGCTGAAAGTATTTCAGTACCTAGCTCCCATTCGAGAGCAGCGGGAGTTAGGTTTTTTAATAGCTATGTGGATCTGGATCTACAGCTTCACCAAAACCACGCTGGGAAATCTCAGTGGCCTTAACATACAAACCTATTTAGGTGAGTTGTAACTGGGCGCCCTACTTAGGGGAGGAATTTGAAGGGCCTCACGGTCCTAGACAACGCTGTAGGACTCTTTCTTGTGCCCTACAAACCTAAATGAAGAGACTGCCAACAGCCTCCTGTGGAAGATAACATGAGGTGAAACAGCAGAACTGTCCCACAGTTTAGTGCCCGGCTGAAGGGACGGGTTGGTGCAACGACGCACTGTCAGCTCTGGCCGAGACGTGTTCCTGTGCAGAGTGTGGCAGGTGACGTTGCCGTTGTAGCTCGGTGACAGCCCATGAAATGGCAAAGGCAGGCTGCAGGAGGGATGGGCAGGTCCAGTCACCTCTCGCCTTTGCTGCTGTTAATGGTTAAGATGTTTGTTTTATCTGTCCGAGTGCAGCTAGAATGGGTATAGTCAATTCCTTAAAAATACAGTGTCTATCTAAAATAACAGAAGTTGTCCTCAATAGAATAGCGTGGCAAAGATGTGTAGCTAAAAAACCACTCCAGGCCGAGTGACATTGTAAGTATTTCAGCGTTATGAGCCTGAAGAGAGGCAGGGTCCCTGCAGTTCCTGTATCTGTATTGAAACTGTAGGGGTGTACTTGGAATATAAAGGGTCCTATTTCATCTGGGTAGAAATCCCTAAGATCCGAGTTTGGCTCTCAAAGCCATTGACTCTAGCTCTTTAAGGTTTTTCACACTGCAGGAGCAGGCAATTACATGGCGAGGTGCCTTTCTCTGAACCGTCCCGTCGTTTGTACGGAGCTGCACTTCTCGGTAAATACAGGGTTTCTCTTGAGCCAAATGGTGAGAGCCTGCTTTCCTGTGAGGCTTAATATGAGAATCAAGAGAGTTAATGAAGCTTGCTTTCTTGACTCTTGTTTTATAAATCGTTGTCTCTCTCGTAGTTACCGCTGAAAGAAATTCGTTCAAGTGCAACGAGACTTTTGAGGCTTCCAGTGGGCTTTAAACTGCTTATCATGGGCCTTCAGAGGCTTTAAAACAAAATCTCAAGTCTTGAAAATTACATGTAACTTGCAACTGAGGAGTAAAATACTGGTATCAGATGTTTTCAACTGTGTTTGCTCTTGGCACTTCTTTAAATTAAGAGCTTTTGAGAACACGGTGCATTTTAATTAAAATGTCACTGCAGCTGAGGCAAATCCTACCTGCTCAGGCTGCTAGTGTTACTGTGCTTTTATCCTGCTGTCAGCATGAAAGCGGCTGCGTGCAGTTAACCCTTGCTTGCTGCTGCCTTCTTCCTTCGCCCTTCTCAGAGCTGCTGCAAGGGTCAGCATGCCTCGGTGGCAAAGTCTCTTGTTACCTTTGGGTGTTTGGCTTTCTTGTGGCTAACTCCTGAAGCTGAAAAAGGGGCTTTGCTTTGTTGGAGTTTCTTCTACAAAAGAAAAAAAAAAAGGCAGCAGGGGGAGGAGGGCTGTTGCTGAGTGTTTGATGTGGCATGGACGGGAGGGAAAGGTAAAGCTCTTATCCCATGCCATTGGCATGTTAAGCCTGCACATTGTGATTCGTTATTGCTGCCATCAGATTTAAATCCCCGGGCACAAAAGCAGGGAAATTATTCCCATATCCTGTAGGATGTTGTTAAGTAGTCACCAGCTTAAAACGATTCCAGCCAATGTACACTTGCTGCCACTTGCCTGCTCTGCTCTTGCCCGTATCTCAAGGCAGGAATGTCGGTGCGGTGTGAGTGGCTTTGAGGTACGTGTGTGCTTTGAATCAGAGCTGCTCAGTGACGTCACCCCTGTTAAAGGTAGATCTCTGTAAAGTGGCCGTTCCCTCCTCTGCTTCTATTTTTAGCTTCGTCGCTGGTATGCCTTAACCTGCTTTCTGTGGCTTTGCTCTTTTGCTGAAATAGGGCAGAGGGCCTATGTAGAAGTACTGAAGAAAATATTTAACGCTTGGAACAAGCTGGAGCGTTAGTCAGAAAATCTCAGCTATGTCAGGAGGCTGCCACCTTCGGTCTGTGCGCCCGGCAGAGGCGGAGAGCCTCTTGGCTAGCAGTGGAGGAACTCGTTGTGGGTGACTTCTGCTACTAACACACCTCGTTCTATAGTCTCAGGGTTAACATCTAGCAATCTCTAAAGACAGCTGCAGAACATGATCCTTAACTTCTCCAAAAGCCTGCAGTAGGCAAGAGCAGGGAATACACCAGGGAATCCTCCAGTGTTGTCGTGCTGTTTTTATTGGGTGCTAACGCAATTTTGTTCTCCGCAGGATGAATTTGACAAGCTTCGACCTCTGTGCTACACCAACACGGACATCTTCTTGCTGTGCTTCAGCGTCGTGAGCCCTTCTTCCTTCCAGAACGTGAGTGAAAAGTGGGTTCCCGAAATCCGATGCCACTGCCCCAAAGCGCCTATCATCCTGGTTGGGACGCAGTCGGACCTCCGAGAGGATGTCAAAGTTCTCATTGAGCTGGACAAGTGCAAAGAAAAGCCGGTCTCGGAGGAGGCTGCGAAGCTCTGTGCTGAGGAAATAAAAGCTGCGTCCTACATCGAGTGCTCTGCTTTGACTCAGAAAAACCTCAAGGAGGTCTTTGATGCGGCCATTGTGGCTGGTATTCACTATTCGGATACCCAGCAGCAACCAAAGAAATCCAAGTGTAGGACTCCAGACAAGATGAAAAACCTCTCGAAATCCTGGTGGAAAAAATACTGCTGTTTTGTATAGGAGTTGCAAGGACCCAAGTGCTACTCTGAGGAAATCAAATAGAGGCTATATTAGCTGAAATCTCATTCTGTGTTGTCCCGAGTGTATAGTGTAGATCCGTATGTATTTGTATATGTTGCTACTGGATGTTTCAGTTGCCCTTTTGAGGGTAGCAGAAGGATTCTTAGTTAAATAATTGCTATAAATCAGGTCTGGCATCAAGTTTCATGACTAAAATCTTTCATTAAGGAAGAAATGCGCCATGTGTCTGTGAAGTTAGAAGGATTTGTACGAAGGATTTGACTTCTTGTGCTATAATGCATACGCGATGGGGAGGAACAACTTGGAGGCCTTTGCTGCGAGGGCCATGCAGGAGAAACGTGCAAGTGACTGGAAACGTAGAGCTCTGTACCTGGACAGTTAAAGAGAAAAATAACACTGTGCCTCCTAACTGATATTTTTAGCTTTAAAAACCCACTCCTGCTCTTTTCTCCATGTCTTCCCAAAGCAACATTCTTAGGGATCACTTTAAAAAGAAAGGGCATGCAAGAGGTGTGATCTGTGCGCAAATGCCGTAGTTGGAAAGGTCACGCATATACCTCCAATATGCTGTTAGGGAATCTAATACATTAAGGAACTGACATCTCATTTGTCACCTCCTGACTTGAAAATCGTTTCTCTTCTCTTTCCCCCATTCTTCCCAGGCAGTTGTATGGAAGCCCAAGGAACATTAGTAAGCTTTAACTCATTACTTCGAATAGTAGTGAGTTCCTTTGTATTTATTCAGACATGACGACAGTTCATCTATTTCAGCTGAAAGGAATGTAAATGCTGTTGTGTTGAGTTTTTTAAGTTTTCGTTTCAGAGTTGTTACAAATATCCGTGCAGCACCACGTAAACTGCATCCGTTTTTAAGTCTACAACCAAGAGTTTCCAAATGCCCCTCCTCACCCTTTTTAGGCTGCTAAACAAATAAGCAAATCAGGCAGATCAAGATTATGGCAAACTGAACTCTAGAAACTGAGACTGTTGTGTCTTCTTCATGATGCTGTTTTCAACCAAGTTAATGTTTCCCTTCTAAAGGCAGCAGTTGCTTGTCGTTGAATCTTGTCCAAGATCATACTCTGGAAATTGGCTGCGATCACCCTGGAAATTTAACTGATAATTCTTTCCCAGATCAGTCCAACAAATTAAAGTGAAATATGCCTAAAAGGTTGCTGAGTGATTAACATAATGCCGAGCTGAGTGTGATCTACTCTCTGACTAAATCTGATTCCTGCTAAACTAAACCTGATTCCAGCCCCTCTTGGGTTCAGGAGACCTTTGGGGTAACGTGACTCTCTCTGCAAGCATCAATATTTTAACTTATTGTGCAGAAAACAGTTTGTGTTGTCTGTCTGTCTTTTTATGGCTCTGACTACTTTTTTTTATCTCGATATTTCAAGATCAAATTATATTCTGGCTCCCCCCGCCTCCCAGTGGCCATAGCCTTCAGGTGACCTTTTTCATAGTCTTAAACTAAACTGCAGTGACAGAAAAACCGAACCTTTTTTCATCATAAATGGATCAGTGCCTGATATAAAGAGGAACTGTGGAAGCCATTTGAATTGATAAAGCTAACCACAGTTTACCTCCTGGCCCATTAAGGAAAATGACACCATGTAAATGGATTCTGGGATGTATTGGCAAGCTCCATGAGCAGTATTTTTTCCTCCACTGCAGCAAAATGAATGCAGAATGCATAACATTCCAGTGCTGAAAACTTCCAAATGGAATGGAAATCTTTACATAGGGCCTGATTCAATAAAAATGTGTTGGCTTCTGCACTGGAACAGCCTGGAAAAGCAGTTTCCATAGCACAGAAGCTGGATGACTTTAACTTGGTTGCATCTGGTTCGTAATAGTTTAATGTTTACTGGTCATGACGTTAACATCTGAGCCGTTATATTTCATGCTCTAATGTTTGACAGGATTTCAGATACACAGTCATACTGTCATCTTGGGGAAAATATTAAGCCAAATTTCTCTTAGGTGCTTCGCTTCTCTGTAAAATGGTCTCAGTTGATCTAAAATGTGGATTTTGAAGGGGAAAGGCTTGCATCTGAGCAACTCCCACTTGCAAAAATAACAGAATTTGTCCTGCAAGATCAAAATGGTTTTTATCATGCCATACTGGAAGCAGTAGGTTATATTTTATAAGCAGCCTGTTTCATAGTCTGGAGTAGCATTACTTTTAAATGTAGCCAGCTGTGACTGTTTCTGAAAATGTGATGTATATACAACTTGTTATAGCCCTTTACTAGGTGTATGTAAACTGAGGTCTAATAACTTTATGAATACTGCTCTACATGGGGCTACACAGGGTCTAGGTTTTAGAATATTACTTTTAAAATCACCAGTATTTTATGAGCGCAAGTGAGGGGGAAATGTCTCTATGTAGTCTATAATCTGATGTGCCTTATAAAGTTCTCTTCTGAGTGTAGGCTATATTCTGAAAGAAATATTTCATGTGAAAAATGATATAAATGAGGTATTCGGAAATAAATTCTGCTCCGTGTATGCGTCTGCCTCTTCTGGCCCCTCCGACTAGGCTGGAGGGAAGCGGCATCGCTTTTCTTAGCGCCGTTACGTAACGGTCAGGCCACGGCTCCTTGGGTCGCCTGAGGCCCGCGCTCCCTCGCGTAGCGGCGAGGGCTTCGGCGCTCAGAAAACAGCATCTTCCTCCCCTGCTTCCCCACCCCTTGGCTGCAGAAGGGGCGGCCGTGGGCTTTCTGCCTC